TGCTCTCTCCCATACACGTATTTGTCAGCGACACCTACCTGGTAGGGGTACCAGCGAGCTGTTTTGACCCCCCCATGTTAGATGTGTAGGGTAAATGGATGGATGGAGCTGTTTATATATTTGCATATTTGCCATAGTTTACTTCAAATTGCTTGTAGGTATTAAAATTTCAGATTTCCCCCCCCTTGATGGTATTTGAGGCATTAATCATAACCAAACTTGCAGTGTTTGTCTACTCCCGAACATGTTGACTCAACATTGGAAAGTTCTTGAACTTTCCGGTGTCTGTTCTGATGATGCAAACCCTGCAGACGCCATCTGCTAAACGAGCTGGTGTCCCGTGGCGTGCCGTGCGATAATGGCGGCGTGATCAAATCCATCTCCGGCTTGCTGGCAGTCTGCCTGCTGGCCCCGTGCAGCGTGTGTGTGTGTGTGTGTGTGTGGGGGGGGGGGGGGGGGTCACTTGACCCAGCAGGTCCCTCCCTTGGATCCCTGCACCTTTTATGGTGTAATCAGTGTCCATTCCCCCACAGCGCCCGGCGGTTGACGGGCTTCTCCGCGAGGGACACCTGCGCCTGGCGGGACTGCAGATGCGAGCCCACGCCATGTTCTCAGCTGAGGGCCTCCCCATGGACAGCGACACACTGGAATATGCCTGGCTCATCGACCTGCAGGCAGCAGCTCTCACCGGCAAGGTCACCGTGCCTCAGGTGGGGCTGATCCTACCCATGAGACTAACCCTACCCATGTGACTATGCCCATATGACTAACCCTACCTATGTGACTATGCCCATATGACTAACCCTACCTATGTGACTGACCATGCCCATGAGACTAACCCTACCCATGTGACTATGCCCATATGACTAACCCTACCCATGTGACTGACCATGTTGTTCTTGTTGGTTTTTTATTATTGAGTGGTTGATTGTTGATTGGGGGTAGGAGCATCTAGATCTCGCTGTAGCATGTTTCTGATGATAGATACCACCCCCCCACATACAGTTGGCCAACCTGGCAGAGTGGGCTGGGCCCTTTCTGTTCCACGCGGTGTCCCGTGAGTTCCAGCTGGAGAGGCCCAAGCCCTCGCTGATGTGCCAGCATGGGGTGGACCAGCGCACCTGCGATGCCAAGGTAATGCCACCTGTTTGCATGGCCTTTTGTGTGTTTGCTGTTTGCTTGTATGTGATTCAAAGAACCGTCTTCGGCGCCTGAGACTTCAAAGACCCAGGAACGTATTGTGTTGTCAGTTTAATGTTTTATTCATTGTAGGTATGAAAGGCTAACTTTCAAAGGTTAACTTCAAGCTAACTTAGTTTAGCGCTGTGAGTTATGGTCTGTTCAGTCTAAAATCGTGTTACAGCTCCATGGCTTCCATGACACACAGACTGAAATCGTCACAAAAATATATCAGTCATGTTATTTGCTTGATCACTGAGGCCACTTTCTCAGCTTGTAGAGTTGGGAAACCTTTGAAGCCACATGTAGGCTAGATGATCTGATTGTTGTAAGTGCGAGTGAGAGCCATGAGATGTAGGATGGAAGTGGGGGCAGGGATAGGGTAGTCTTGGGGATTCTGAAGCCTGCTCTCTGGCCAACAGCTGGCCTCGCTGCCTGGACCCTGCCGTACCTCGGAGGAGCTGAAGTACACCATGACCCGGCTGGCGGTGGACAGCACTGACCTGTTCCTTGTGGAGCACGGCTGCGCAGCCAGTATCAAGGTGGGTAGGGTTAGGGTTAGGGTTGGGGTTAGCCAGTTTCAAGGTGGGTAGGGTTAGGGTTAGGGTTGGGGTTAGCCAGTTTCAAGGTAGGTAGGGTTAGGGTTAGGGTTGGGGTTAGCCAGTTTCAAGGTGGGTAGGGTTAGGGTTAGGGTTGGGGTTAGCCAGTTTCAAGGTGGGTAGGGTTAGGGTTAGGGTTGGGGTTAGGGTTAGCCAGTTTCAAGGTGGGTAGGGTTAGGGTTAGGGTTAGGGTTGGCCAGTTTCAAGGTGGGTAGGGTTAGGGTTAGGGTTGGGGTTAAGGTTAGCCAGTATCAAGGTGGGTAGGGTTAGGGTTAGGGTTGGGGTTAGGGTTAGCCAGTATCAAGGTGGGTAGGGTTAGGTTAGGGTTAGCCAATATCAAGGTGGGTAGGGTTAGGGTTAACTGGCATAACGATGGCTAGGGATAGATTTAGGGTTAGCCAGTGTTATGGTGGGGAGGGTTATGGTTAGCCTGTATTACAGTGGGTAGGACTAAGATTAACCAGTATCAAGGCAGGTAGGGTTACAATTAGCTAGTGTCAGGGTGGGTAGTGTTATAAGAACATAAGAAATTTACAAACGAGAGGAGGCCATTTGGCCCATCAAGCTCGTTTGGGGAGAACTTAACTAATAGCTCAGAGTTGTTAAAATCTTATCTAAATCTGATTTAAAAGAACCCAGGGTTTTAGCTTCCACTACACTAGCAGGAAGACTATTCCATACTCTTACTACATGCTGTGTAAAGAATTGCTTCCCCAAATTCATTTTAAAATGTTCTCCCGCTAATTTTCACTTATGGCCACGAGTTCTAGTATTTAATCTAATATTGAAATAGCCATTTGGCCGAACAGCATCCAGACCTGTTAGAATCTTATAGACCTGGATCATGTCCCCCTTAGTCTCCTCTGCTCGAGGCTTAACAGATTCAGCTCAGCTAACCTCTCCTCATAAGACATTCCTCTAAGACCAGGAATCATTCTTGTAGCCCTCCGTTGCACCTTTTCTAAGGCAGCAATGTCCTTCTTAAAGTATGGTGACCAAACCTGCACACAATATTCTAGGTGGGGTCTTACCAAGGAATTATATAAATGTAACATCACCTCCCTTGACTTAAACTCCACACACCTAGAGATATAACCCAAAATCCTATTGGCCTTTTTTATTGCTTCCGCACACTGGCGAGAGTGGAACATGGAAGCATCAACATACACACCGAGATCTTTCTCTTAATCAGCTACCTTTATTTCAATGGAAACCATAAAATATCTGTACTTTATATTTCTGCTCCCTTCATGGATTACCTTACATTTATCTATGTTAAATTTCATCTGCCAGATATCAGCCCAGTCGCTAATTAAATCCAGATCCCGTTGTAGCCTCTCTGCTGCTAGATCAGTATCTGCTACACCACCCACCTTGGTGTCATCTGCAAATTTAACCAGTTTACTGTATGTATTGGTGTCTATATCATTTTTGTAAATTAGGAACAATAGTGGTCCTAAAATTGAGCCCTGCGGTACCCCCACTATGAACGCAGGCCCACTGTGACATTGTGCCTCTAATAACAACTCGCTGCTTCCTGTCAGTTAACCAGTTTTTGATCCAAGCTGCCACAGTTCCTAAAATCCCTGCAGCTTTGAGCTTAAGCAAGAGCCGTTTGTGGGGGACAACATCAAAGGCCTTCTGGAAATCTAAGTAGATCACATCATAGGCCTTTTTGTGATCAATTTCACTTGTAGCTTCCTCAAAGAACTCAAGTAAATTCGTTAAACAGGACCTACCTCTCCTAAATCCATGTCGGCTATCCCTCAGAATGGTATTTGCAGCCAGATAATGGTTAGCTGAGTGGCTACCTGACTAACTAACTTTCTCTGAGTGTTTGCAAATTTTAAATATGTGTTCCATCTGCCTTTAAATATATTTCCTTAACTGATGGAAGCAGTGGGCCACACGTAGTGATTAGTGTAAGTGATTAGTGTAAACTTAGTGTAAGTGATTAGTGTAAGCTTAGTATAAGTGATGAGTGTAAGTGATTAGTGAAAGCTTCTTTAATGCTCTGTTCTTGTCCCAGTGCCAAAGGGTTGGAATCCATAATTGATTTGAGGAAGGTGTCGCACTCTTATCTTCCCTGGCGTTCTGCCAGCCGTGTTATTGAGTTGTGTGGGACTGCATGCTGTCTGATGTGGGCGTCACGCCTCCAAGGTGTGGAGTGTCTGCAAACTCTGCATCTTGCTCTGCATGTGTCTGTATCCATATATTTGCTTTTTACTGATAACTTGAAGCATTTTACAGAAATATCCCCCAAAGGCAATAATTCTCTGCCACAGTAAATCGCCAGATGCCATTTAGAAAAAATCTTAATGCGCCTTCAGAAGAGAAAGCAGAATTATCAAAAGTTTGCTTGTTATAAGTTCATGTTTTTCAAGGTTTGTTAGAAGTTGATTATTGTAGGACTCCTTAGTGTATAATAAATGCTTTGGTGTGATATTTTGGGCACAGTCCCAGTGGTTACATACCTTTTTAATTGCCTGTATGTGTGTTTGTTCTCTCTCTCTCTCTCGCTCTCTCTGCTGCCTCTGTATCTTTGTGTTCTTTAGACAAACGGCATCCGTCTGGCCAACTGCAACCTGCACAACCAGGCAGTGGGCGAGGGCGTGAGTGCAGTGGTGCAGGATGTGCAGCTGCGGCAGTACATCGAGCAGCAGGACGGCGCCAGGCTCAGCCTGCAGCCTCCCCAGCTGCGGCGCCCCCTCTGGCTGGAGGCCGGCTCAGTGACCTTCGCTCTCCTGACGGCCGACATTGCCCTGGCCGCCGACCACCCGGCCAAACACGAGGCACAGAGGCAGTTCCTGGAGCTGCATGACGGCCGCACCAAGAGGTGGGCCACGCAGGACATTTTCGGGGGCCAGAGGTCACGGAGCATGCCCAGTATGAGATGTCATCATAGGCCACAAGTTATCTTTGTTCAAAAAGGGGTCAGAGGGTTACTGGTTGTTTGAGGCCTTTTGTTGCAGCTGAGAAGTTCATGGTTGTAGGTCTCCTGGGACATGTTATCAGGTTTGCATACAAATCTCAATGACCAATAATTTGGTCTAGTGCTAGTGGGATGGGTAATCATCTACAGCAACCAGTGGGTCGCGACTCAAATTTGGGTCATGGCAAGGGTTTGAAAGGGTCATGATGCAGAGTTGGAAATGTAAGCATTTTAAAACCAGGGAGCTCCTATGCTGATCCATGATCAGATCTCTCAGCCCCAGTCCTAGAATCAACTTATATAATTGGCTCTTGGGTCTGCAGATGCGTAGCGCAAAATTAGTGAATGCTCAACCAATCGAAGAAGCCAAACCACAGATGCTTAATTTAAAATTCACTGGCACATCCAATCAGATTTGTGCGATAGGCATTGATTGGCAGAAATTGCAGAGGGCACTGTGTACTTGGTCATAGCGTTAATTTAGACCTATATACTGAACTGGAATGATAAAAATTGGCCACTGCCCACTTCGTACGGCTAATCGATACCTCATCGAGTTTTTTTAACTAATCAAGCTAAATGACTGAGCTGATAGTGAAATGTAACAGATACGTGGAACGGCTGAGGTGCCCTTGAGGAGGTTTGGGGGCTGAAGCCGTGTTCATCCAGTAACATTTCAGGAAGTTTTTGGAGAACAGAAGAAATTCTTGTTAGATTTTATTGCTACTCCTAATTTACATATGCTCTAATCCTGAATGGGGTATTTTTTTCTGAATACATACACACTTATTACCCAGATAAAAAGCCTTTAACATTCTCTTTGACTGCCGAAGGCCTTTACAGCACATGGTTACCACTGAATTAACCTGGTGAATATATGGTGTACAGGTGGGTTTGCTTGTAACTAAGTAACTGTAACCATGGCGATGCATCAGATAGACACATGGGCTGACAGTAGGGCTGACCTCTCCCCCCCCAGGCTATGGTTCCTGTGGCCCGAGGACGTCCTGAGGAGCAAGCGCAGTCGTAACCGCTGCGGCTGCCTGGGCGGCTGCCGCTTCTTCGGGGGCACCGCCGTGGGTCTGGACTTCTTCCGCCTGGAGGACATGACGCCCTCGAGCAGCTCAGCCTTCTCCAGCTCCAGCGCCGAGACGGACATGTGCTACGGCCAGTCGCTGCTGCAGCCCGGCGAGTGGATCGTCACCAAGGAGACGCCCAAGCTCGTCGACGGTGCGCCATCGCGGGCCCTCCATCCGCACGGCCCCCTAGGGGCCGCTCTCTTTCTGCGTGCCTTCTGCGGGCCCTCCGTCCGCACGGCCCCCTAGGGGCCGCTCTCTTTCTGCGTGCCTTCTGCGGGCCCTCCGTCCGCACGGCCCCCTAGTGGCCGCTCTCTTTCTGCGGGCCCTCCATCCGCACGGCCCCCTAGTGGCCGCTCTCTTTCTGCGGGCCCTCCATCCGCACGGCCCCCTAGGGGCCGCTATCTTTCTGCGTGCCTTCTGGGGTTTTATTTATGTATGACCAAAGAGGAATTGATGGCAGTCGGGCTCATTCTTTTCTGAACTACTTGGGTAATTTCAGTTTTTGCTTGCATGTGGGTGAAAAGTCCTTTATTCACTGTAGCAGAGATCCAGAGTTTAATCAGCTGCTCCTTCGTGCACTGCTGGCTTCTTTTCTGTGATTACCATCTCAACAATTAATTAATTAAAAAGATAAAATAATCAGGTAGCTGAGGACATATTTTGCTGTAGCGTAATCTGATCACCCAGCCATGACCCTACATCAGCTAAACTGTGTGGGAACTGGTTACATGCAGGATAATCTGCTCAGCCTGAGGCTCTGATTCCATTTTGATCAGAGGGGATGATGTGTATTCCAGCAACAGTGATATGTAGCTGCTGTCTGGGACAGTGATTATTAAGCTGGGGGTCTGTCCTGGATGGACTGGATGTACGGGGTGGTGTATGTGAGGAGTGGAGGGTGCAGATGTTTTTCCATGTCATTGGGGCAAGTGGCTCGATGGGTTAGAAAGCTGCTCCTCTGATCGGAAGGTCGCCAGTTTGAATCCCCGGGTCAGCAGAGCGGTTTCACCATTGGGGCCTTGAGCCAGACCATTAGCCCCTTAATTGCTCCAGGGACCAGCCATCCCTGCTTCCTCAGTAAGTGTCCATTGCTTTGGATAAAATCATCTGCTAGATAAAATGTAAAAAAAAAAAAAAACAAGCCCGTCCCACAAAGGATGACCCAGAGTTAGCAGAATAAAACCCTAAAACACCAAACAGCAGCAGTGACCAGAACAGCTTCAGCTGGCGCTGAGCCAGGATGAAATTTCATTAATGAGATTTAGCTCATTTGCGGTGTGAAGTTTTCACGTGGTGCTCAGCCCCCCCCACCCCGTGTGCTCTGTGTGAGCTCACCATGCAGGCTACGAATAATGAATGTCAATGAGGACAAAGCTCATTACATTGGCTAATGGGAACCAAGTGCTTATCTCTCTTGCTCTTGGAAGGGCGACTGTTTGGGATATCTCATTGTTTATGGTGTCTTCTGTCAGCATGGCTGTCATGGTTGTGTGTATGTATGCACACATATCTGTCCAGGGCTGGGCCTGGGACAAAGAATTAGCAACCCCCCCCCCCCTCACTGCCCCCCTAAATTGTTCTGTGTAACTGTCACTAGGGCTGTCATGATTAATTGATGTAGTCGATGCCGAAAATGTGTCATCAGTATTTGAAATCGACGCATCGCATAATTCCACCAGGAGGCAGTAAAGTATACTAGCCTCATGATTCCTGCAATGTTTCAGTAATATCTTATAATACTCTATTTTAACAATTGTTTTCCTTTAATATCACTGCGTAATTATGAGAATCGTTCATATTATCACTAAACAAAATGGTGGTTTTACACTGTGCAAAGTCTCAATGGCATATCGTAGTGGCACTAGCACTGTGCAGGAGTACCTGAAGAGGCCACATAGAGGCGCTATGCTGGGTGATGGACCGCCAGAGTAGGCAAAGCCACTGTGTAGTCTATTCATGTTCATCAAAGTACCATTAGTTTGCTTTTCAATATCGTGTAGCTGCTAAATACACTCATCATTAAAGCCATATAGTTGTCTGCCTGCTACCTTAGAATCACCATTGAATAAGTGTTTGAGAAAATGTTTTGGCTACAATCTGTTCTGCGTGGATTGATGGTGCCAATGTGTGTACCTGCACATTGGGCTTGTTGGAACAAATGTTGTTATCGTAAACTAAAACTGAAACGAAAACAGACAAATAAATGAAAGTAATTATTGAACTGAAATAAAAAACTATATTTACCAAAATAAGTGTCGAACTTTAATCAGCAAAAAAGACCCCCACACCTTCCTACCTTGTTTATCCACAGTATAAAGTATAAAGGAAAAATACATTTTTCACTGTGCTGTTGACATATCACTCTACCATTAAGGGTGATCCACAGGCCCCCTTAGCTAATATACTATACTGCCCCCTGGTGGAATTCTACTGCGTATGCCTTTGAAAGATGGATGGACTTTGTTTCGTCCTGTGCCTTTAGATCCGTCTTCAATCAGACTGTCTTGTGCATTAATTAACTCTCAGGCAGGAGTCATTCAGAGATGATTGGTTGCAGGACCGTGCCTGAGCGTCTTCCCTGGGGTTAAACGATTCGCCGGCATGGGTTAGAGGACACCATGTTGTACTTGTCGGGCTTGTAGGTTAATAAGCGGCCATGTTCTGTCTCGTCGGCTTGAGCAGCTTCGGGAAGGTGCAGCGGGGCGAGGAGGGAGGGCCCCTCACCAGCTTTGGAGCACGAGCATAAGGTCCAGCACCTCAGCCTCCAGGTCCCCCGGAATTCCCACAGCTCTGCCTCATCCTCCGAGGACAACAGCTCCTCCAGTGCTGCGCTGCCCCTACTGGCCGCCGAGAGGGATAGCCCCTCCCCGGGCCCTGAGGACCGGCCCCCACCGCCATACCCTCCCCCTGTCAGACCCAACAGTGAGGCCGGTGCCGTCAATGGGGAGTGAGTGTCATGCTCTGGCTAATTTCTCTCTCCCTTATCTTGGGGATAAAATGGGAATTAGTAATTTGTATTTATGTAATTAGTGCCTCAGAAGTACTTAAAATGAATGAATTGTCTTACAAATGTCTTCTCTGCCCCTGTATCTCGACCTCCTGTAGAGTTGCTGGAGATCCTTCTGAGAGTACACCGGTCTCTCCCAACGGTGGCCAGGAGTGGGCGCCGCTGCGCTCGCCCCTCCGCTCACCGCTGAAGCGCCAGTCCTCCGTCCACTCGGCCCGCCTGGGCAGCACTAAGAGTCTGTCGGCGGCAGTGTTCGCGGACCGGCTGCCAGCGCCCACCGGCGTGCAGTTCAGCGGCGACGTCTCCCGCAGCGACGAGAACGTGCTGGACTCGCCGCGGCAACGTCGCAGCTACGGCTCCTTTCCATTCACGCCGTCGGCCGACTCCAGCACCTTCCACCAGTATCGCTCCATGGACTCCAGCATGTCCGTGGCTGACAGCGAGGCTTACTTCTCCGCTGCTGAGGAGTTCGAGCCCATCAGCAGCGACGAGGGCCCCGGCACCTACCCGGGGAGGAAGAGGAAGAGGAGGCAGCAGATCGGCTACAGTCGCAGCTCTATCTACCACAGCGTGGAAGGACCCCTTGCCTACATGCTCAATGGCGAAATGATCATGGAGCCCCGCCCCCTGCCCATCCCCAGTCTCGCCTCCCAAGCGTCCTTCGTCTCTGCCTTGGGCATCGAGGAAGAGGGTAACGTAGAAGTGGAGAAGACCCCTGAGCCAGGCCTGGTCACGTCCAAGCCTCACGTCATGGCTTGCTACCAGAGCTACCTGGCCCACTATCAGGTTTCCAACTGGTCGGTCAAGCAGCCCACCAATAAGAGGACGTCAAAGTCCTCTCTGCACCGCCCACTCGACTTGGACACGCCCACCAGCGAGGAGAGCTCTGCTTCTTTTGACCAGCTCTCCATTCCAGTGTTTAAGGTCCATCTGGTTTTCATGAACTTTACATTTGCATCTGATACCTTATCAGTTTTCACATTATTTTACAGCTGTCCTATTTCATTCTGTAGGTTCTCAGACCAGGCCTCTCCGCCAGTTCCCTGCTGGACAGAGGTGTCCAGCTAATGGGAGGCTCAAATAGGTATGTTTCAGTTTCTGACTGGGCATCGTTTCGGCGCAGAAAGCTTGGCTGGTGGCAGGTGGACCGAGACTGCACCTACAGAGTAACGTGGACTTGTACGCTCACGTCTTGTGCTTCCTGATGTTTGGCAGCACACCGTACACGCCCCTGGAGAAAAAGTGTACGGAGACCACAGATGAGGACACCACCACAGACGACTGGAGCCTGGACCAGCCGCTGACCCAGACCCGGACCACTGCCATCGTGGAGGTGAAGGGAGCTGTCGACGTGGTGCTTACCCCGTTAGTGGCAGAAGCTCTGGACCGGTAAGAGTTCATAGCGTTCCATCATACCTGGTGATGGAATCATGGGATATCTCAGCCAGTGTCTTAACAAGTGTTACTAATCAGCTACAATTTATTGAGTAATTAAGCATCCAACACAACTCCCATTTTTAAAGCTGTCACACATAAACCACAACAGGCCTGAGTGTATTTCTTAAAGCTGCCCAGCTATGCTGATCTGACCTGCGTCTGTCTCCTTCAGCTACATCGAGGCGATGGTCCACTTCGTGAGCATCCGTCACCCAGCCGCAATCCTGGATGACCTTCACGGCCGGGTGCTGAACGAGGCCTATCAAATCAGCAAGTCCACAGTGTTAGACTCTGTAAGTGTTTCTTCATCCATTCTCCGAAATTCTATATGAGCAACAACCTGTCACATGGGTTTCTTGCTTTGATTGTGATTGGTCACTTTCCTTCCAAAGTATGGGATAGTAGCACCACTAATGGTGTTCTAGGTGCTTCCAATGCTTCTTGGTTTAAAGAAGCTTTGGCAAGAAGTTTTTGCTCTTAGCAGAGTTCTGGGAAGCATGAACACAAGTCAGCCAAGACGGAGGGCACCACCCTGGGCTCTTTGACATCTCCTCCTGGCCAGACAGACCTGTCAGCCAAGCAAGACAACGTGAAGATCAAGGGTCTGCAGGCTAATGTGTCCATCCCCAAGGTATTTCCCAGCTCTGGTCCTTGATTGGTACCTAAAGGTGGCTGTATACTTCAAGCAGAATCGAGGGAATCAGTGTTCTTCTAGCAATACATCATATGAGCAAGGTTTAGATCTCCCTGGATCTGTTGTATATCAAAGTATTCACCTGTGCACTGATTGGTTCTTCGAGCATGGTACCATTTTGTGACGTCCTGTGATCCGTCCCCTTCCTCCCCAGGTGAACCTTTGTCTGCTCCAGGCCTCTGTGGAGGAGGCCTCACTATCCAGCTGCACCAAGAGCCTGACACACGTGTCCCTGGTAGCCCTGTGCTTTGACCGTGTCGCCATGCAGCTGCGCATGAACAGGTGGGCATTATTGAGCAGGTGGGCATTATGGAACAGGTGGGCATTATTTAGCAGGTGGTCATTATTGAAGAGGTGGTCATTATTGAAGAGGTGGGCATTATTGAAGAGGTGGTCATTATTGAGCAGGTGGGCATTATGGAACAGGTGGGCATTATTTAGCAGGTGGTCATTATTGAAGAGGTGGTCATTATTGAGCAGGTGGGCATCATTGAACAGGTGGGCATTATTGAGCAGGTGGGCATCATTGGGGTACATTGTGCTCTCCCAGTTGCCCTTAGTGTGTCACTCCAAACGTGGTCAAATAGGACAGTCCCATCCTTACCGTTGAGTCACGAAGGACCGTTCCTGTCGCCTGGCCAGGACACACCCACTTTACCTCTGCGCAATGAATCTTGGGATATGTTGGACTGCAAAGGATCCCTCGTGTGATGCGTTCAGTCTTTGAATACAGCCTGAGAGGGTACAGCTCCTGAATTTGGGCACAGCCTGTGTATGTGTGTGTGTGTGTGTGTGCGTGCGTGTGTGTGTGTGTGTGTGTGTGTGTGCGTGTGTGTGTGTATGAGTGTGTGTGTGTATGAGTGTGTGTTTGTGTGTGTGTGTGTGTGTGTGTGTGTGCGTGCGTGTGTGGGCGCGCTCCGTGGGCTACGCATCCCAGAATGCAGTTCTTTAACTTGACTGTTTGACTCCATCTCCCAGGGGCATCGTGGAGGAGACGCCTAACGGCACTGAACATGGACGACCCACGGTGACGTTCGAGAAGTATTCCTCGGCCTCAAAGATGCAGCCACAGTCCTCCGGGTCACTGCGCTCCAACGCTGGTGTGGAGAAGGGCAAGGAGATCGCCGCCAAGCTCAACGTGCACCGAATCCACGGGCAGCTGCGAGGCCTCGACGCCCCAGGTCACACCGAACAGCCGCTCTCCATCCATCTCTGCTTGTTTGTGTGTGACCATCCCCGATTGGTCTATTTTTATGCATGTAGCTAAACGTAACATCATCTTCTTGTTCAGTGAGGTCACATTTAAAGTGACAGTGCCTCATGGGTTCTATGGCCTTTCACTCTGAACGTGTCATCTAATCAGACATTGGCACCTGCGCCATCACGGCCATCCCCTTCGAGAAATCCAAGGTGCTCTTCAGCTTGGAGGAGCTGGACGAGCTGACCTACGTGGACGAGACGGACCCACAGGGCAACACCGACCCGACCCGCTCCAGCACCACCCTAGAAAAGTGGGGCTGGATCATGTTTGAGTGCGGTATCGAGAACCTCACCATCAAGGGTAAGAGACGTTATATCCAGAACCTTAGCAGTAGTAAGAATCAACATGTCTAGAACCTGAACATTAGATTCATGCACCACTGCTGCGGCACCACCAATGTCTCTATCTACCGTTCATAAATCTTCATTGTTGCACTTTAGTTATCTGCACAGGAAGGTTGTCAACTCATGTTTCCCAGAGGTGGACATTTCAGGTCCGCACAGTAAAAATACAGACCAGGATTTTGTTTCAACCAATCAGCCGAGTATATAAAGTCACAATCCTCAGCTGGTTGGTTGGTCTGGATTTTTACTTCCTGGTACTGAAATGTCCACCTCTGATGTTTACAGCAAATCGTTGAACGGTGTGCAGCTCAGCAGGTTAGGACACTGTGCCTGTGACCAGCAGGTTGCTGTTTCGAATCCCCTGGCTGCCATGCGAGGCCCTTAACTCCCCACTGCCCCAGGGACTGCATGATCCTACTTTCTCAAAAAATTATTATTTGTTGCTTTGGACAAAACAGTCTTGCAAAATAAATAAAATGTAAATTTGCATGCGGCATACAGCGATGTGCAGCCTTAGCAAGGTCACACTGTTTCCAGGAAATATTCTGTTCTGTCAGTCATCCTCGAACGCGTTTCCTTTTTTAACGCTGAGATTCTGCCAGCGAAGAATTTAGGATGGAGAAATCTACAGGGCCCAAAGCCATTGGGACGCCTTCACCACCGAGAAGGGCACTAATTAGGGGCCTTCACCACCGAGAAGGGCACTAATTAGGGAGAATTCACCACAGAGAAGGGCACTAATTAGGGGGCCTTCACCACCGAGAAGGGCACTAATTAGGGGGCATTCACCACCGAGAAGGGCACTAATTAGGGGGCCTTCACCACCGAGAAGGGCACTAAATAGGGGTAATTCAGA